CTCCCTCTGCTGGTCAATGAGATTATTCCATCATCCTGATGTACTACACTTGTCTGGCATTGAGTGCAATAAACAGCTCAATATATTAATTGTTAGGCTACAGTATATATAAAAAATTATAAACACAAATATTTACAAATAATAGCATTTTAATGTAGCTTTGAGAATACATTCACTGTTACCATGCAAACTAGCCATGGCTGTCAGGTCTTGAGCGTTCATGTTCTGTAGGCAGGCCGATGTGATGTGACAGTGCAAGGGGCAAAGGTAATCACGCTGTCACAAGCAATCTGGCTGACACTGCCGTGCTATGCTGTCCGCCTTCCATCAGCATACAGCCTGTTGGCCAGCAGTGAAGGTTATGCCATGCCTTAAAAATCCATCTGAGTAACTACACTAAAAGCTACTTGTTTCTAATGACCAAGAAACACGCAGTAAAGCTTTGAGCCGGCATGTCAGGATGGTAACTTAGAGCACTGCTTAACCTTAGCAATTCTATAAATCTTTTTACACGTGCACATATTTACAGTAATAGCCTCAGAAGTGATGGCCTGCTATTGGCATCAACAATATCTTGCCCAAGGACATCTCAGAATACTAGGACCATTAACTCTGCTGTAATTGGGCAACACGCTCCAAAACCACAGTGAAGCTGTCAGAGTGTCCTTGGATGTGGACTGGTCAGGTAAAACTATTTGGTCTAGGCTCAGTGTGGGGATCTGCAGGGCTTTACTACATGTAAGAAAACAGCCGGCCTCATTCACCGACACACACAAATCAAATGTTTTATGCACAAATCTGAACTTCATCACTATTTTTTTTTTATCTGAATCTGTTTGTAGCTACTAACAAATTGGAACATCAGTCCACGAGAATGCAGGAATTGCAGCAGATGGTTGTCCTTCCTGCTAAGAGGGAGTTTTTCCTTCCCACTATTACCGAGTGCTTGCTCATAGAGGTTGTTAGAGGTGACTGAACAAAGCTGAATTGAATTGAAATAAACAATAAAGACCGTGGTTGGATAAAATAATAGAAATACAAATCTTTGGCATATTAAAATGTTAAATGGAAACATATTAAATGAACAGATATATTAAATAATTATAAAACGGATGCCCCTTCATCTTTGTTGGATGTTATGACTTTGACCTACATTTCTTTATCCACTGACACTCTTACATTAACAGATCAGGTGATCCTTGTCCAGGGAACGCTTAGCTCTTAGCTCACACACTGTTCCTTCAGAAATGCTAGCAGGCTAGGTGTGCATCAGACGGGGTTATCCACCTCTGCTCTGATTGGAAGCAGACTCACAGTAGTGCAGATCACACCAACCCGTGTGTGTGTATGTTTTCATGAAAGAAATGCTATCAGGAATTGTTTATAATTATACTCTACTTGAGGAGGAAGTGCAGATTTCTGGAGACTGAGATGCATTTTTGTAAAATGCATGTTAATCTAAACTCAGGTTTGCATGTTCTCATGTGTGTGTGTGTGTGTGTGTACCTCCATCAGGCAGGTTGGCCCAGTAGATAACCCTGAATCCCAGCAAGTTGCCATTCAGAGCTTCTTTAGGAGGCGTCAGCCAGGACAGTGAAATGACCTCTGGGGAAGTCGCGACGGCCTGGACGTTCTCTGGGGGACGACTGGGCACTGAGTAGAAAAAACCCAGAGTATAAAAACAAACACTGACAACACACGTAATACCCAGTGATCTCCACTAGGTTGTGTTACATCCTCACAAATAGCTGCAACATTAAACCAGCTGCCTTCACAGCTGTGTTTGTAATGCGATACTCCAAATGTATTGGTGCTGTATTTAGATCAAGGGGTCAACATTTCTCATTCATTAAAATGTTGACGTGAAACTGCAAATCAAAAGAATCGTTTTATTTCCTCCCCTCTTACCGTCCTCCAGTGTGGTAGCAGCCACCTCGGTGGAAGACGGCCCCGTCCCGGCGCTGTTACTGGCTTGCACCACGACTCCATACTGGGTGAACTTCTTCAGATTATCCAACACCAGGCTTTCTGCATTGTCCCCTGTGGTCTCCACGCTGATCACACTGAACTGGTAGTTTCCTCCTGAGCTGTACTCCCTGTAGCCTACCTGGTAGCCTTTGATGGCCCCATTTTGGAGGTGCTTTTTGGGCGGCTGGCAGACAAATGACAACACTCATTAGAGATTTTCTGGCTGAATTAAATATCCACCGTGCTAACGAGGGAGTGCTAGCACACACACAGATAATTTGTCAGTTAATCAGATTTTTTCCACTCATGCTCCTATCATGTGTTGTTCACATCTGGTAATGAAATCCATCTTGTTTGTAACACCCAACCGACCAAAACACAATCAAAAATGCATTAAGGGCGTATTTAGGGCTGAATGGTCAGTGCGGGCAGGAAACAAGAACGTGTAACGATACATGACACCAAGTAACCAAGTAGGTGATGCATCCAAATGCATCCCTCATTCTGCTGCAGGAAAAGAAAATGTTGTAATGCTGCAAATGATTTATATTCAAATCATTCTGTTTGTCTTTCTTAATCATTTACTGGAACTGAAGCACCAGCACAAACCTTTTCTTTTTGCTGGTTGAGAGAAAATGTGCACTTTTTATCATTTAAAGCGTAGCTGTGTGCCATTTGTGAAAGCATGACGTGGATGCATGAATTGAATTGCTCTGAAATACAACAATCCAAGCTTTAAACAAGACCTCATGTTATTGCACATTAGAGCAAATTAATGGATTCCCCGACTTTCAACTAAGCAGATGAGAGATGCAAATATTGTAACTTCTTCTGAAAAAGCAGAGTAATAAAATATCCTACAGCAAACTGGTTCAAATCCTCAAAGTAAAATAAAGAAACTCCTGAGCTGAGCTACTCTGCTCGCTGCTGAGCTAATCCACAGGAGCAGCAGCAGGTTAAATGCTTGTGGACACAGTGGAGAGAAAAGCACTGGATTTGGAGATACATTTGATTATATATATATA